CCTCCTCCTCCCTCCCTCCCTCCCTCCCTCCCTCCCTCCCTCCCTCCCCTCCCTCCCTCCCTCCCTCCGCCCCCCCCCCCCCCTAACCCACCCTCCTACCACCGCCTGCTCCTCTCCCTCCTGTGTGTAACCGCCCCCCCCTCGCCCCTTGCGTGTCTTCCTCCACTATCATGCTGTGTTGGTTGAGCTGCTGGCTGTCAGCATGGCGAAGTCGGAGCTGGAGTCACCGGACGAGAAGAACACACGAGGATACTACTCCATCATGAGACCCAACACAGTCATGCACGTTGCTGCTCGGGCGACCCCGACATGGCGGTCGGGGATGTGAGCGACGAGGATGAGGAGGATGAGTGGAAGTTAGTGCTGGTGGAGAAGAAGAAGATGATGATGATGTTGAAATTGCACACTGATGCTATAAGGCGACTTTGACATTCGCCCACACTCACTCCAACTCCCAACCCCCAACTCTCCTCGTCCTGCTGAAGCTGGTGCCGATGTTGGTGCAGGTGCAGGTGCAGGTGCAGGTGCAGGTGCAGGTGCTGGTGCTGGCTTCAAGCATAGACAAATGACCGTATTTTTGTCTTCAACAACAACGATATCATCATCATCATCATCATCATCACCTGTTTGCCGTCTCGCCTATTCACATGCCACTTTACAACATTCATAATCTCCTTTGCTCTCAAGTCCCTTTAGCGCCGTTGGGCCGGGTTGACTGCCGTCTGAGGACGAGGTTTCTGCGAGAAAGACGTCAAAATGAAGAGAGGAAGGCAGGCAGGAAGGCAGGCAGGGAGGCAGGCTAGGAGGGAGGGAGGGAGGGAGGGAGGGAGGGAGGGAGGGAGAGGGAGGTGTATAGGTGCAAGGTACAGAGTGAGTGAGTGAGTGAGTGAGTGAAGGTAGAGCAGGAGGGAGGGATCAAAATACCCACCTTTGTGAGAGGAGGCCGAGGAGATTGAGACGCTCTTGCAGAAAGCAAACCTCCTTTCGACCTGTGCTGCCTTCAGGCGGAGGAGAGAGGAACAGAGGAAGGAAGGAGCAAAACAGGAGGAGGAAGAGAGAAGAGAGAAGAGGAGAGGAGAGGAGAGGAGAGGAGAGGAGAGGAGAGGAGAGGAGAGGAGAGGAGAGGAGAGGAGAGGAGAGGAGAGGAGAGGAGAGGAGAGGAAGGGAGTTCAACCTGGCTGAGGACACTTCCTGCGACAGGGCTAAGTTCATCTGCACGCTAATCCCGCTGCTCTTGCCCTTGTCCGCCGGCTTCCACAGGAGGAGGCGAGGAGAAACCCCGTGAGCAGTGAGGGAGGGAGGAGCTGCTGCTGCTGCTGCTGCTGCTGCTGTTACTTCCGCTGCCGCTGCCTCCTCCGGCGCCTGCGTGGATCCTTTCCTTGCTCGAAGCCGCGTCACGTCCCCCTTCCATGCTCCCACCGAGCGCCCGATGGAGTTGGAGGGCTCGGCTCTACCCCTGCTGGACAAGAGCTCGGCCTTGCCCTTCTCCTCCTCCTCCTCCTCCGCCAGTCTGATCGCTTCCCGCACCAGCTCTGGCGCCATGAGCAGGCGCTCGATCGTCTTCCTCGCCTGGTCGACCGTGAGGGAGATGAGACGGTAGCTGTGCCATGCCGCCGACACGTCCAGCTGCTCCTTCACCCCCTCCAGCAGCGACCGCAGCGTCCCCGCAAACTCCCGGCCGAAGGCGAGGCGGAGGACACCGATGCGGAAGACCTCGGGGTCCATGCCCTCCTCCTCCTCCTCCCCTCCCTCTGGACTCGCGCTGAAGGGGTCGCGGAGGGAGGAGAAGGAGGCGGAGGAGGACTCGTGCCGGACCAGGAGGTCGAGGAGGAAGTCCACAGAGACGCTGACGCCTGCCCGCCATGAGCTTTCCGCCTCCTCCTCCCGCTGGCTGTGCGTCCTGAGCTCCTGCAGCAGGGGGCCAATCCTCTCCCTCCTCCCGTGCTTCGCTCTGCTCCTAACAAAGGAAGTCGCTTCCTCCAAGCTCAGCCAGCAGATCTCGCTCGAGTGGAGGGACTTGAGAAAGTGGAGAACGCGAGGAAGGAGGGCCTTGGAGGAGAGAGGAGGAGTCGCCTCCTCCTCCTCCTGCTCGCAGCGGAGGGGGATGGAGGAGAGAATCTTCATGTAGGTGACGAGCCTGTGCTGGGCAGTGTCGCGGAGGTTGTCCTGGTCCATGTTGAGGAGGGAGGAGAAGAAGGAAACTCGTAGACCCGTCGTCCTCACCCCCACCAGCCTCCCGACCCGGCCGAGCACAAGCTTGCTCCTAGCCTCTGCAACCTCCGGGTCCTTGTGCTGCTGCAGCATGTGGCGGTAGAGAAAGGAGAGCATTGTATCCTGCGAGCAATTGTTTGCCTTCTCCATGTACCAGCTGTTGTAGATCTGCACCCAAGTCAGGTTATTGTCTCCTGCTCCTCCTGCTCCTCCTGCTCCTTCTCTCCTCCTCCTCCTCCTCCTCATTCCCCCAACCTCCTCCGTGTCCCTTCAAATCTCCATCCTCTCCTTCTCAAGTTCCTTGCCTTCTCCCTCCCGAGCTCCTCCTTACCTCAGCAATCGCGTCCAGCACCTCCTCCTCCCCCACAGTCTCGCCCCCCTTGCTCTCTCTGCTCCCAGCCTTGAGCCGGTCCAGGATGCTGCGATCTACGAGCTTCTCGTTGCGCCGAGCAGGTGCAACAGGTCCCCCCTCCTTCTCCAGCTCTTGCCGGACTCTTCCCCAGCTGTCTTCCGTCCTCCTCCTGTAGATAGCAACCTCCCGCTTCAAGTTCGCTACCCGCTCGCTCCTGTTCTTCACCTCCTCCCTCAGCCTCTCCCTCTCCTCCTCCAGCTCCTTTACCCTCCCCTCCGACACTCCCAACCTCAGTGCCTCCTCCTCCACCACCTCCTCCCACGATCTCGTCTGGCTCTCGCTGTCGGCCTTGTCCATATCGCTCGTGCTCCTTACCCCCCCCAGGTTGATCAGCTTCAGCTGCAACTTCTCCATCGTCCTCTGATGTGCCTCCATCAACTTCCTGCTCGCCCCCAGCTGCTGTCTCGCCTCCCCCAGCTTTTCCCTGAGCTCCCCAACTTCCTGCAGCAGCTGCAGGTTCCCCAGGGGGATCATTCCCAGCTGATCCTCCAGCTCTCCGACGATCCTCCCTCGCTCCTCCACCAGCTTCCGCGCCGTCTCCTCCACCAGGTTCCACTCCTCCGGCAGGTAGGGCACATGCCGCGACGAGGCGGCGGCGGCGGCGGCGGCAGGAGGGAGGGCACGTTCGTACTCCTTCCTCCTCATCAGCTTGCTCGGGGCAGCGAGCGACTCAGTGCGGGAGATACCAAGAGAGGAAGGGAGCCCCTTCACCCCTTTCTCCTTGAACCTCATCACCGCCTCCTCGAACTCCTCCCTTATCCTCCCGTCCTCCACCAGCACCAGCCCCAGCTTCTCCCGCAAACTTCTCTGCAGCTCGTGTAGCTGGGGCTCCTTCAGCTGCCCCTTGTCCGCCATCAGCCCCCCAACCTTGTCCGTCACCCTGTCCAGCTCCTCCTGCAACCGGGCCTGAGCTGCCCTCGCCTCCTCCTGTATGTGGTCGCGCTGCAGGATCAGATTCTGAACGCGGAGGTTGAGCGCGTGCAGTTTGTTCTTGTCCGAGCTCAGCTCCTCTCTCAGCTCTTCTATTACCTCCTCCCTCCCCCTCCTCTCCTGCTCCAGCCTCTCCACCTCCCCGGCCAGCGCCTCCATCCTCTCCTTGACAAGGTCGTAGTCGGCGAACCTACTCATCTGCTGCTGGAAGTACTTCACCCTGACCTCCGTCTTCTCCTTCTCCTCCCGCAGCCCCTGGAGTTCTTCCTCAAGCTCCCCTATCCTCCTCTCCTTGATCCTCTCCTCCTCCCTCATTGCGTCCATCTGCTTCTGCGACTTGAGGATGAACGCGTTCAGGTCCGCTGACTTCTCCTGCAGCTTCTCTTGCAGCTCCTCCTCCCTCCTCCTCATCTTCTTCACCTCCTCCTTGAGCGCCAAGTTTGCTTCGTTGAGCTCCGACAACTTTTCCACCCTCTTCTCCTCCCCGGCTGACGCCAACCGCAGCTCGAACTGGCTCTTTCTCAGCTCTTTCTCCAGATCCGCCTTGTCTTCCTCCCTCCTCCTCAGCAGCTCCTGCAGCTCAACAAGCTGCTTCCGTACCTTCTCCTCCCGCGCCAGGCACTTCTTCATCGCCATGGAGAAATGCCCGAACACCTGGAAGCGATAGAGAAGAGTATGCACAACGATCAGCCAGTTCTCTCTTGCTGCTCCTCTTGCCCCCGCTCCCTCTCGCTCTCGTGCTCTTGCTCCCCCTCTGACTCCTGCAGCTGCTCCCGCCAGTACACTTGCTCCAGCTCCCTCCCATGTTCCATCCTCCTCCTCCTCCTCCTCCTCCTCCTCTGATGTCTGCCTTACTCTCCTGAGGTCTCGACTCTCCTCCTCCTTGACTGAGTGTAAGAGGGAGGAGGAGGAGGAGGCAGCGGAGGAAAGAGCAGCGGAGCTTCCTCTGCTTCCTCTGTCGAGGCTGAAGGAAGAGCCTGCCCTCTTGCGGATGTCGAGGTACTCGCGGAAGGACACGTTGTTGCTTCCCCTGCAACTTCGTAAGCACGAGATGAAACAGAGGAGAGGGAAGAGGAGGAGGAGGAGGAGGAGGAGGAGGAGGAGGAGGAGGAGGAGGAGGAGGAGGAGGAGGAGGAGGAGCTGCAGGAGTCGGAGGGGGAGCACGAGCACGAGAGCGAGAGGGAGTGAGGAGGAAGAGGAGGAGGAGAACTGGCTGATCGTTGTGCATACTCTTCGCTATCGCGTCCAGGTGTTAGGGCATTTCTCATGGCGATGAAGAAGTGCCTGGCCGCGGGAGGAGAAGGTGCGG